GATCTTAAGAAGTCGTACATGTATATGGCAGAATGTGAGAAAGAGTGGTGGGATTGTTTTATAAAAGAATTGAAAGATAAAGCAAGCAAAAAAGGTAATTATTGAAGGTGTATTATTACCGGTACATCCATTTTGTTTATAGCATTTTACATATACAAGTAGTGTGATATATCAAATGCAACTAACAACCATGGTATTAGCCAATCACTGAACAGAATTTAAAGTAGGCGACTTTAATTGCGCGCACTTGTTTGACAATTGTGGAAAACATGATTTACATAAACAATTACAGTATTCCCAAAATATCTGGGTAGAAAAGTAGATTTATCTCTCTGATTGCGAAACTGATGGTAGTAATGGTATTTAATTAAATAATACAATAATAATAACTTTATTACACAACTAAATTATTTGAGGATTTAGTAAGGTAAAGAGAGTAACAAGACATAAATAAATGTAATAAAAACAAATAGTAAAACTGAAAAAATAAAAAATAAAACATAATTCTTAGAAAGTCAGGAAATTTGTTCTGTTCTTTCTAACTTAATATCATATATGAATATTCATTACAGCTGTTGTAACTGTGATCAGACAAATGTTTTGAAACATTTTGTTGAGTGTATTTTAATTTATGATAGATGTCAGGATTTTAGGTATTCCAGATAAAAAAATAACCAGGTGCCATAAATACTGAATAAATGTATGTTTAAATAAGTAATAGGTAATACAGTGTTAACGATGTGATGTAGACCTCATAATTTACAATATCCAGTCCAATTACATATCAATTTTGGGTTATTTATAGGAACTCAACATACCAATGAAGGCATATGGTATCTGTATGAAATAATGTATGACCAGAATGTTAATATAGCTGACAATGACATAACTGAAGATATTGTATTATCTGATTATGATGATGAGAATGAACCACTACAAGGAGTAAGTATAATTCAAGCAGTCAGTCAGCTGACATATTTATGCTGTTTCAGATGCATTATGAGAAAACAATATAAAATCAATCAGTTAGGATACTAGTAATAGAATATTTTAAATGAATTACTGTAGTCTGATAGAGGAAGGAATCAATCAATTTGACAATTGTTCATCCAATGGTCTAGTGGTTTTCAAAAAGATGTGAGAAAGTCTTTTTATCACTAAAAATGATAAAATAAAAGATTCTATATGATTTGAAAATTCAAAAAAACAGATATAATTTTAGGTGACTTGACAACACACTGCTCT